TCATATGATCCGCAATTTGGAAAGAATCCAGTCTTAAGTTATTGTGAAAACTTATTGAAACAAGATTCAGGCACAAGTCTGTTTCGTATGATATCTGCCAAAGATCATCTCATTGATCTAGTTCGTCATTGTCGATCTTCAAAATGTAAGTTCGGAAAAGTTCGTAATTTGATTCGCCATTACAACCATCTCGTTTTTGATTTTGATACACATCACTTGACTGTTGAACGCCTGCCTGATGAAGACCTATTTTGTGCAGATTCTGATTCCCTTTTACACGACTGTGTTAAATTATTACAACGTTCAGTTCCATCAGAAAATCCCATTTTGTATTGTCGTGTGAATATCGAACAATTAGCCAAAGAAACGAAAGGAATGAACCATGCAGCGTGTCAAAGTTCATATCCCGCCGTGAACATTGATCAGTTTTCATTTCTTGATTACACACGTCTGTCGCATGTACACTTAGCTATCGCTGAAGATAGCGGTACGGATCGTGTCTTTGTCTTGGCCACGTATGATGGAATTGTTGCTCTCTAGTTTATAGCTGCTAGTTTCACTTATTAAATGATATTAACGTTTCGGGATAGATGCAGCGATTCTAAAATATCCAAAATATGCCGAACAAACTAAAGTTAAGTTTTTTAATTTTAAATGCAATTTCCTGACCTAAATATTTTTCAAAAATTCTGGAAACTATCTGATGATTTAGCACCATTACAACCACGTTCAATAAATAATGAAAATACCCATCAACAGCTGCAAGAGGATGAAGATGAAGAGGAGAGAGAACTAGCGACAGGTTTAGACGAAGAAGAAGAAATGGACATTGGTGATGAAATAGTCTATCAACAGCCGATAGTTGATGAATTACCATCAGTTTCAAGTGATGATTTTCAGCCAATGCGTCGATCGTCGTTTGCCCTAAACCATACATCAACTCCGCTACTAGTTACAGCACAAGCTAGAGTCACATCTCCATCCAACTCAATTCAACAAGTCATCAACTCAATGATCGAAACAGCAGCAGCAATGACCACCAATGATTATTCGTCTTTCAACCAGCGACCGATAGAAGAAGAAGAAGGCGAACAGGCTTTGATCAATTCATTTGGATATGAAGTTGATGCAGAGTCATGGCGTAGACGAAATGAAATTCGACGTCGGGAAAAAAACGAATGGGAAGATGAAGTACAAGCCAGTTAAACATATAAATTGATCTCCTCTGTCAATGATTCTTGAGTATACATCTCTCACTATACCAAACTTATTAAGGCGAAACATTGACGATAACGTGGAATTTGATATACAGCAATGAGTGAATTAGCTTGAGCTACTGCTGCATTAGTAAATGACATTAATCCAGTTGTTATTGTTTTAAAAAGTTCGAGTCTTGATATTATAAATACAAGATATATATGTATTAGAGTAGATAATTGCTGGGTGGCAGTGAATATTGTTGTTTGAACAAGATGTATTATTTTCCTAATTTTATTTATTTTATGGATACGAGAACGTAAGCTATTGACTGAGTTCATATTTTTAATAATCAAATACTATCTGAAATATTGAACATTGATGACTCACAAATTGAAATCTGATTTGATTTCTATTATGTTACTCGTTATACTTTTTCTCCGTTTTAGATAGAACATAGATTATATTAAAGATACGATCAGCTTATATATACATATACTTGCTCATATTGTTCATTCTACATATAATTATTAATACGAAAATACCAAAAATGAGTAAAAAAGTCAGGATAACTCCTGAAGAA